CTCCCACTGACCCACCGTCCCCTCTCTCTCTGATAAGTGCACATACCCTATAGTAAACAAAACATAACAAGTGTATTTTAATCTTTCTAATGCATGAGTCATTGCTGACAATTAAGTGATGAGATTTTAACTTTAATTAGATGAGACACAAGGACTAGGAAGAGTAAGGTAGTTCTACTAAAGCTAGAACATACTATGGAGATTTACCATAATTGGGTAGGCAACTGTGTATGTGGTGTGGAAGTATATGCAGTGAAGTGCGGGTATATTTCTTACTGAACTTTTAAAATGAGCTGTATTAGGACCAGAGGATGTTTACATCACTGGACTCTCACATATTCAACCATGGTTCGAGTCCCAGATCCAGTGGCTTAAAATTTACGTTGTACACGTGTGTATGCATGCCCAAAATCCCAAGAGGAGAATGAAGGAGAGGGGATTGTGGATTTTGCATCCCCCCTAGGGCATGATTTCTTACTTTCGGTCTCTCTCTGTCTCTCTGACAAGTGCATGAGCCCTATAGAAAAAAATCTCTCTTAAAGAAAAAAAAAAGATGAACTGTATTTGTGCATGCTTCTGTATTCATTATAAAGATCAAAAAGAAATGCTTCTGGGACCAGCAGTTGGTATAATGGCTATATTGCTTAACTCCCATGTAGTCGACCGCAGTTTGAGTCCTGGACCCAGTGACTTAAACTCACACTGGGTGCATGTGCATGCATGCCCAAGATCCCAAGAGGAGAATGGAGAAGGGATTGCGGCATGGCCATCTGCCCCAGAGGTGATCTCTCACTTTCTGTCTCTTCTCTCTCTTTCTGGAGAGCACGTGCACCCTATAGCAAAAACCTCTCAAAAGAAAAAAGAAAAAAAAATGCTTCCAAATAGACCCTTGCCACAAATTCATGGGAGAAATTTCCCAGTATCTTCTCTCATATCAGGTATTCAAAAGGAAAAAAAAATCTAGTTTGAATTGACAGATCACAGTGGAAAACTAAAGAACTTTCATTGCAATGGTTTCTGTGGTGCTGAGGTTGATTTTATTTTAGCCTTTGCTAATCTTTTTATTTTTGTGTGTGTGTCTGAAAATCATCTTTGAAAGTTGTTTTTTCTTACTTCCTCAGGGCTTCAAGAGCATTTCACCAGTGTTAGCATCTAATTGAGCTGGTGAGTCTCTCTTTACTCCAGTTTATCTGGGCCACCTGAGTCTATCAGATCTGTTTCCCTCTCAGCACATTTCTTTTGTTTCTCTCTGTTTATTCTTTAACATTTCTTCAAATACAGAGCACAATATGGTCACATCAATATGCAACTCCAAGTTTACAGGTCTATGGAAGCCTTGCAAATAAAATCTTGCTACTGGGTCCACATTATCACATGGCTACCTACCTACACAGAGGGTGGAACAACTGTGAATATGGAACCCTGAGTCCTCAAGTTTCTGCACAGCAGGTCCCCTACTTCCTCAACATTCCCTGATATCTCAACTTTCTTTTGCTCTTGCCATCTTCAAGTCATTCACCTCTCCAGATACTCTTGCAGCTACTGCCCTATCTTTCCCTGGGACTCTGCTCAAAGATCACCTTGTCTGTCACTTGTGCTATCCATCCCCAATAAAAGCACCCATGCACGCTCTCTTCTATTTACATAATGTTCTTCAGCGCACTTGTCAATATCTGATACAGTATACAATTCTATTTTTTAAAGGTATGAAGGAAATTCTATTTTATTTTGAGAGGCTTTACTTTCACAATATACATACCCTAGGCACATAAAGGCCCTATTAATGTTCTGCAAATTGCTTAATAACGTAAATATTTAGGTTGATTTTTATGAGGATTTTAGACATTAAGTAGAAGAAAGTTAATGGCTATGTGAATTTGCACATATAATCACAATCAAAATGGTAAAATAAATCAAAGAATAAAGTCTAATACCTTGAAAATATAATAATTTGTAATTTTTCTTTTTTCATAAATTATGGTAGTGTTTTATTTTACTCTTATTTTATTTTTACTTTTTAACATTAAATCACTGTATACTATTAATTATACAAGATTAATTTTCCCAGCATAAATATACTGTTTATTAGCCCAAACATATTAGCATATATAGTATCACCAAATGATCATTTTTCATTTTTGTGTCCCTTAAAAGTTTTGCTTCTTTCTTTTCCCCTTGATATACTCTCTCTTACCTTACCCCATTCCTCACCCTCTTCCCACACTCTAGTATCCACAGTTGCTCTCCATGCTTTTATGCTTCCCAATCTTTCATTTTCTGCCATAGAATGCAGACATTCATTATGTATAAAGTGGAAACATCCAATGCCTCTCTTTTATAGTCTGACTTGCTTCACTTAGCATTGAATCTTCTATATTCATCCACTTTCTATCAAATGCCAGGGTCTCATTGTTTTTCATGGCTGGGTGTATTCTGTAGTGTTTATGTCCCACACTTTTTCAATTTATTCACTTGTTCTTGGCAATTTAAAATGGTTCCATGTCTTAGCAATTCTGAATAATGCTGTAATAACCATGGAAGCACCAGTGTTTTTCTGACTGGGTGTATACCTAGCTTATGGGTAGATACTCAGGAGTGGAGTTGCTGGATGATTTGGTAATTCTGTTTGGGTTTGTGAGGAACCTTCATATTGTTCTCCACTGTGGCTGAGCTAATTTACATTCCATCAACAGTATGGAGAGTTCCCTATTTGCCACAGCCTAACCAGCACTTATCATTCCTTTTTTAAAAAGTTTTTGCTCTAGAGTATGTGTGCTAGTTGGAGAGAGAGAGAGAGACAGAAAGAGAGAGACATCAAGAAAGTGAGAAATCATCTCCCACAGGGGATGGTCATGCCACAATTAATTTTACTCCATTCTCCTCTCAGGATATTTGGCACACACACACACACACACACACACACACACACACACCTGTCATAGTTTTCAAGCCACTGGATCCAGGACACAAATGGTGGTCAGCCATGTGGGAGTCTAGTGACATAATTACTACACCACCTACTGTCCCTGCACCTATTGTTCTTTATTTTTTAATCTCAGCCATTCTTACTGGGGTTAATTTCTAATGAAACATTTGTTTCTATTCTGATTATTTCTTTATCAACTCATAATTGCTTTATCAATAGATTGTAATTATTTTAGTTTCTCAAAGACTTACACTCTTTTCTCAGACTTTGCTTGCAACAAGGGGCAACTCTCAAATTATATTACTCAAGTGGATAAAATAATTTCTAAATACACATGTAGAATTTATGACCTCTTGGGAAAAGGTTGAGAATGAGACAGGAATTCCTAACTGGAGATAGCCTGTAGAGAGGGATATAGGAAGGAGAGATATACCAGCATGATATGATAGATTAATTTATTCACTGAAAAAGAAAAAAATTGAACTAATTGATTATAACTCAGTGATTAATAGCCTTTTGAGTGAAATTTAGTCATTTTATCTTTCTCTTTCCTGATAGTCACCTCTACACATGGAACCAGAAAATGATACAAGAATTTTGGAATTTCTTCTTCTTGGATTATCAGAGAAACCAGAATTGCAGTCCCTCATATTTGTTTTTTTTTTTCTCTCCGTGTACTTGATCACTGTGTGTGGAAATTTTCTAATCATCCTGGCCACCATCTCAGACTCCCATCTGCACACACCCATGTACTTCTTCCTCTCCAACCTGTTTTTTGTAGACATCTGTTTCACCTCCACCACAGTCCCAAAGATGCTGGTAAATATTCAGACACAGAGCAAGGTCATCACCTATGCTGGTTGTCTCAGTCAGACATACTTTTATATATTCCTTATATTGTAGGATGGCTTCATCCTGACTGTGATGGTCTATGATCAGTATGTGGTCATCTGTTAACCCCTGCACTACACCATTATCATGAACCCTCAGTTTTGTGTGTTGCTGGTTTGGTGTCCTGGATACTGAGTGTCCTGCACTTGTTGTTTCGAAACTCAGTGGTGTTGTGACTGTCCTTCCACACATATACCCAAATCTCCCACTCTTTCTGTAAATTTAATCAGGTGGTCCACATTACCTGTTCTGAAACCTTTATTAATGACATTGTCATATACTTCGGAGCCACACTACTGGGTTGTGGAACCCTTGCTGGAACCTTTACTCTTACTCCAAGATCGTTTCCTCCATATGTAAAATCTCAACAGCTCAGGGGAAGTATAGTCTATTCCACCTGTGCCTCTCACCTGTCTCTCCATTCTCCTCTCAGGATCTTGGGCATGCACGTACACATGCCTAGCATGAGTTTCAAGCCACCCAGTCCGGGATGTGAACCGCGGTCAACTACATGGTAGTCCAGCGACACAGCCATTATGCTAACTGCTGGTCCCAGTATCTCTCCTATTTTGATAAGAGTTTGTAGCCTTGAGCTGGCTGGAGCATGGTCTCTGCTTTTGCGGTCTTAAGTCGTACTAGGGGACTAATGCTTCATTCTGTCCTTCTGTCAGACTGGAGACAGAACTTCAGTCTTAATTATTGATACCCCTGCAAAGGAATGTAGATGCCTGCAGAAAAAAACATATTTTCAAAGATTTCATCCAGGTGGGTCTGAAAGCATGGCAGAAAAGGATCAGAGAGAATGGAAATGGAGAATGTTTACCTGAGGTCACCTAAGAGCCCAATAAACTTAGCTCAGAGCCCAGAGATCACTGTGTTTGCTTGGAGGATGAACTAATTTGTAGTAGATTTTTAGCATGTTAAAAATAGTAGTGTCAAGGCTGGCAGATTGTGTGGTGGTTAAGGTGCCAGATTTCCACATGGTTGACTGTGGTTTGAGTCCCAGAACTGGTAGTTTCAAAATCACACCAGGTGTGTGTGCATGCATGCCCAAGTTCCCAGGAGGAGAAGGAATTTGGTGTGATCATCCCCTTTGTGGGGGGGGGGGTGATTACACACTCTCTCTCTCTACCCCTCTCTTGTAAGTGCGCTCATCCTATGGCAAAAAAAATTTAGGTGTCTTATTATTTATTAGCCTTTTGGCTACCATAAAGTGTAGTATAGGTTCTAATCAATTTAATATTCTAAATGTCCTATATCTGAAGACAATATATTATATAAATTTTTGGAGCAGGGAGATGGAATGGGAGCTTGTTTCATCCAATCCATGTATTGACCTGGTATTACAGTACCACCAGGAATCATCCCCTTCGGGGGATTAAAAAGTGTTTCTTGAGGGTCAGCAGGTGGTATGATGTTTAAGAAGTTAGGCTCCCAAATGGCTGAGTGCAGTTCATGTCCCAGACCAAATGCATGGAAAATCACACCAGGCATGTGTGCATGTGTGCCCCAGATCCTGAGAATATTAAGAATTGATTTCAGCATGGCCATTCCCCTGGGAAATGATTTCTCACTTTTCCTCTCACTGTCTCTCTCTGGCAAGAGCACACACTATGGCAAAAGCCTATGAAAAAAGCAATTTAAACTGCAACGCACGGATGAGCTGTACTGGATGAGACTGGACAAGGAATAGAAGGAGTAAAGGGGTTTCAGTAACATTAGAACATGTAAGGGGAAGCATCCATTTAAATCAAATACTCAATTTTCCTACTTCCTGAAAATCTTCATGGTCATGCTTTTTGTTTGTTTTATTTTTTTTTTTGTCTTTGCCTTAGGGAATTTGTGCTTGCTGGAAAGACAGAAAGAGACAGTGAAAAGGAAAGTAAGCCATCACTCCTGGGGAGTCATGGTCATGCCACAATCCCTTCTCCTCCACTCTCTTCCTGGGATTTTTTTTTTTGAGAGGCTTTTTTGCTATAGGGTGCGTGTGCTCACCAGACAGACAGAGAGAGACAGAGAGACAGAAAGCAAGAAATACCCCCCCCCAGGGTATTTGAGTCCCTGGTCTGGGACTCAAACCGCGGTCGATTACATGGGAGTCCAGCGACATAGCCATTATGCTAACTGCTGGTCCCCCTTCCTGGGATTTTGGGCACACACACATACAAGCCCAGTGTGAGTTTTCAAGCTGCCAGGTCTGGGAATCAAATTGTGGTCAACCATGTGGGATTCCAGCAACATAACCACTATGCTACCTTCTGACTGAAGACCAACTTTTATGTACTGAGTTTTTTTTTTTATTTTATTCTTTCAAAGAAAAAAATTGGAGGTTTTGCACTAAGTTTGCTATTTACTAATAGCTAGCTAGATTTCTCATAGAAAAATAATAGATAGACAGATAGATGAATATTTTGTGGGATAATATATAAAACTATTAAGACAGTGTGGCCAAATCAATCAGTTGTTCAGCTTGCATAGTCATCTCCCTCAATGGTATTTTTTTTTTAAGTTTTTGCTATAAGGTATGTGTACACACCAGGGATAGAAAGAGAAAGTAAGAAGTCACCCCCTAGGGGAGATGGCCACACCACAATCCCTTCTCATCAATTCTCCTCTTGGGAATTTGGGCATGCACACACATATGCCAAATGTGATTTTCAAGCCACTAAATAAGATACTCAAATCACACAGTTGGTCTTGTGGGATCTAACCTCCATGAAACTTGCTGCCCTTCACCATTGTTTTTTAAAAAAAAAAAAAAACTTAACAAGTTCTGCATCATCAGTAGTAATTGTCTTTTATATATTTTGCCATCTTACTGGATGGTTGGAAGGTTGTGATGCATTTTTGTGTAGAAAAATGAAGGAGTCCGACCCAGTAGGGCCCCAGGATCTGTTTTGAGCCTTTGACCTTTTGAGCAAAGCTTGGGTCTAATCAGCATGTTGGCAAGGCTGCTTGTTGTACACTCCAGAGACTGCGGTAGCCTTGCTGGGAAGCGACACCCCTCTGACTCCCTGATACACTACTATAAAAGAATTACATAGCTTTCTGATATATCCTGAGTATATGATAAGATTTTCCAAAAGTCCCCCAACCGCTCCCTTTTGCTCTGACCACCTGCTGTTGATTACAATGCTTCACCCCGGCATGGTCACAATACAGGGTGTGCTGAAGTCACATCTAGGCAGAAATATTCTTGACCTTTGGAAGGCCCTTCAAGATACATTTAACATAAGCTTAAAAATAACCCTTTAGGACAAAACTGGCCCAGGACACTCCCATGGTAGCTAATGTTCTAACAAAATACATAACAGTGGCACCATAGGCACAACAGAATGCTTAGATATGCCATAAACCTACTTTAAAGTTCTTCATTAACTTGTTAGTCACTTTACTGCCAGTTGAAAAAGCTGTATCCCCCCCCTCACCAAGTGAACTATAGCTTCACCCCTTTTTTAATAGATAAGTATATTAGGATTCCTTGAATTAAGTTTTAGATCCCTATAAAATTATGTAAGTTCCATTCTTTATTGAGATCCATAAGAACTAATATCTATACTTGAGATTTTCTTTTCTCAGCATAGTGCTAAATAATCACAAGATGGCTGCTGCCACATCAGCTGATAATTATCTCTGCTTGCTGGAGCTGCTTTCCCGAAACTGCATTCCATGAAGACCTGCCTACATCAAACGAACCATTGTGGAACTGCAATAAACCCACCCTTAATCCAACCCTGAATGGAACCTATGTTCCCTATTATTAAAACTTTATGAACTGACAATTAGAATACATAGTCCCTCACCCCCAACCTTATTGCAAAATTACAATAAAGTCAATTAGTGATCTGCTGGAGGGCCAGGGAACCTGAGACAGAATCCCCCTCTGCCTGTTTTAAGCCAAAATTAACATGTTAGGTTAAGTTAGTATAAGCCAAATTAGCATTAGGAGCATATGTAGAATAAGTTAGTTTAAGGCGAGTTTTATGTAAATACCCCTTGTTAAAGCTGCAGGCCAAAGTTAACTTATGTTAGGCCAAATTAGCATATCCACCACCATGACAGAGACTTAAAGATAAAACACAAGAATTCACTGATTAACAGACAAAAAATTCAGCAAATAAATACAGGTACCCATGGGTTAATAGAGGAAGGACAGAACTGGCTAACAATGACAGGATAAACAAGCCTGAGGGCCCCAGGGGGAAGAGTAACTATCTTAGCTGAAAGTTATCTGGTTCAGGCAAGCAACAGATAGTACCTAACTACAAACAGTTTTTCCCCTGTATGCTATTAACCATGAAAAACTGCTAATAAAACATCCTGTGTTGTCTCCTGAACTACAAGACCCCTCTCATCTAAAAAGGCCCTGTCTGGTAATCAAGACTTAAGAAGAATATGCACCAGACAAATAGACTCCTTCGTTCTGAGAACTGCTTTTGGCTTCACCTGTTCAAACCGAACAGTGCATCATGTTTTATGATTATTGTTTCCATACTTTGTATACCCTATTTCTTAGAATAAAACTTATTTCCCCCTCACCCCTCTTACTCCTGTAAGACATCCCTCAATAAATACATGTGTTTGATAGCCGCTAGTGCTGCGGTCCTGAGCTTGCTCTGGTTGTAGCCGGCTGAGAACATGCTAAGGAACATTGAGGTTTCAGCCTAATTTTGTTCACCCACGTCACCTTCCTGTGTACCCACCCCTGCCGAGGCTAGACCCCAGCAGAAAAACAAACAAAAAAAGTCATGACTTTTCCAACAATCCAGTATTTCACGTTAGTCTTATTCCTATATTTTTACCTTTGGTAGTTGAACTAAATTTTTTAAATAGAAACAGTGACCTCTCTATCCTGTGGAAAATATTCTTTGCATTCATCTGAAAATCACTTATTGGTTTACTCCATTTACTTGGACTGCCTGTGATATGGCATATTCTCAATTTGTGTTACTCAAATGCATAAAGAATTTTTTTTACTAAAATTGTAAAATAGCTAGTTGGTGGCATGGTGCATAAGATGGCTGGATCCCACATAGTCAACTATGTGATTTGAGTCCTGGACCTGTTGGCTTGGAAAATACACAGGGTGTGTGTGTGTGTGTGTGTGTGTGTGTGTGTGTGTGTGTGTGTGTGTTTGTGCCCAAATCAAAAAGGGAGAAATGGAGGAGATTCTGGCAAGGCTATCCCTCATGGAGGGTACATTCTCATTTTCTCTCTCTCTTTATTTTTTTGTTTATACACACACACACATACACACACACACACACACACACACACACA